CCATCAGTTGCCTCCTGGGGATTGACCCTGAACCTAGGTATGTGCCCTGACCAGGAACTGAATCCACGACCCTTCAGTGCATGAGAAGACTCTCCAACTGAACCTCATTGGTTGATGGGGCCAAAGAAATGTTTTAAATTCTTCTGGGTAAATTCCTTATATTGGAATGGTGGGTTATGTGACTAATAAATGTTTGACATTTTATAATGACATACTATTTTCCAAAGTGTTTGTACCATTTTGCATTTCCCCTATTAGTGAATGAAATTTCTGTGCCAAAAGTTGCTATGGTCAGTGTTTTTAAGTGTAACCATTCTATTAGTATGTAGTGGTATCATTTCACCAAAGAAATCCAGGGGGTAAATAAGCATGTGAAAAATATTCAACATTATTAGGTTATTGGATCTAGCTGTCATATGTCTCTCCCTTTGAGAATGAAAAGTAGTGTCACATTCCTAGTCATTTTGCTTGATAGTGAAGCAGGAAAAATTAGAAATAGCATCATCAACTATTTGACAATAGCAAAATATAAACATGTGTATATCAATCAAGCAACACTCAACTTTTGATAAAATATGAACTTCATCTTTAACGTGTTTTCCACTCACACGTAGGTTCATTTATGTAAGGTTAAATACTTTCATAAGATATTTTAATACATATTCTTGACTTTACATGACTTTTATATCTTCCATTCTATCATGTTACAGATGTTATGATCACACTCACCTGATGAATATGAGTGAAGAGAGACAGCAGGTCTAGAATAGTCAGGCAAACCTCTGTAGCTATATTAGCCTCTGTGTCCACATGATGCACGATGTCTATTTCATTTGAGTTGCCTGAAACCACAAAGTGGAAATGCATAAAAACATCTAAGACAACTGTTTTACCCTGTAAAGGACTTTCTTCTATTATTACATATTCAGTGTTTACTGGTTTTGATCAATAATTTATCAAAGTAAAATGCTTTGGTTTATTCAACTTCCTATTGGCTGAATCGAAAACACTAGACTGAGTCTTTAGTGAATTCTACAAACTAAATGTTTGTGTCTCCCCAAATTCATATGTTGGTGTGAATTTCAATGTGATGACGTTAGGAGGTGAGGTCTTTGAGTGGTAATTAGGTCATGCCCCTGAAGCCCCATGAATGGGATTAGTGCCCTTATGAGAAGAGACACCAGAAAGATCATCCTTCTCTATCTCCATCATGAGAGGATACAGCAAGAAGGCAGCCATCTGCAAATAAGAAGCAGGTTATCACCAGACCTAAAATCTGCTGGTACCTTGGTCTTAGATCTCCCAGCCTTCAGAACTATGAGAAATAAATGTTGTTTAAGTCACCCAGGCTATAGTATCTTGTAGCAGCTTAAACAAAGACCGTGTGCCCTTTTCTTGTAGCAGCTGGAGAATTTCCAAAGACCAGAGTGGTCTATTTCCATTACTTCCTACAACTTTCCATTAATTCCATCATTGACAAATTCATATTTCTTTGATAATCAGTCTGGTTCAAGTTTTAGGCTCCCAGGTTAATAGACCAAATGTACAGTCTTAGTGGGCGGTCTGCATGAATGGTCTCCTGAGAACGGCATTAAGTGCATTTATAGGATAAGGTATATACTTTCAAACAGCTAACTTTGGTCACATGTCTACAATTGCTAACATTTACATGATACAAAACACTGTTCCTTGTTTTTTTCCATATTCACAAGCTGAAATGTGGGTATCACTGGATTCAAGATGTCATGCTTACTGACATGAACCACATTTTCTTCTTCCTACAGAGCAGACAATAAACAATACAATTGAGAGGGACCTGCATACCATTTATAATACCATTTTTTTTCCAGAGGAGCTACACTAAGCATATGATACTGAGCGTTTTGCTTTCCCACTTTGTTTCTCATAAGAACACTACAAATTTTTAAGCAATCCATGGTGAGTGCCTCCTCTAAGAATACTTGGGGCCATAGCACGCCTGAAACACAGTGGTCTCAGTGGCACAACAGTATTCTTTCTATTTTTGAATCATTATCATGCATTTCATGTCCTACCTACATCTAGAGAAAAGCGGATAACCATCTGTTCCTATTATTTCTGATTTACTTACTGCTCATGGTATTGTCTAACATCTGTAAGAGTTTGGGGTTAGAAAGTGGATTTTTGCCTCGAATTATAGGTAAAGTTTGTGATCTGGACTGCTTATGTCCTTCATGACCAGAATTGGTGTTCATCCTGAAAATTAAATAAGAAAAATGGTTAAAGCAATGGACATGTGATATCCAAATATTCATTCAGATATTCTATATTGAGCCAGATATATAACATTTTTTAAAATTGAGACCTATTATGAAAACTATTGATTAGAAGTGAATGATAAAAGGGACATGAAATACTTTTAAAGAAATTTTATTTAAGCCAAGAAAAGGTTCAGAAAGATCAGAGAAGAATAATAGATACTGAATTTAAATTTGCACAAGCATACTCATTAGTATTTAATGATTGCTGGGATTCTATAGATGTGAAGTTGACTATTGGTCAATCAGGAAGATAGTATAACTCAGTTGTGTGAAATTATATTTAGAAGGCAGTATTTAAAAAGTAAAATCTGGTCTAGAACAACCCTTGCTTTCCTAGTTGTTCATATTTGAAAATTTTTCATGTTTTGTCATTCCATTTGTGTCATGTGCACAGGGGCCTGATACATGATCCTTGTGGGGCAAAGAGAGCCAAGGGGACTTCTGGGCAGCTCCTTCCTCAAGGCAATGACCATGACATACAAGGGCTCTCATTCAATGCCTCCTTGGCACTTCCAACTGGGGGAATGAGCCAGTGTTACTGTGGTAGTAGGAATACTTCCCATTCTCTACTGTTGTTTAGACTCATTTGGCCAAGATAATAGAACATGTCTTTCAGAATAGCAGAAAATTGGAGGTACTCTGAAGAGTCAAATCTAAAAAAGAGGCCATGGTTTTCTCTTTGTCATACTTCTCGAAACCTCCGGGTGAATCAGGGCCCAGGAGATCTGACTTTGGCTCTTAGCAGCTAGGGGAGTCTGGATCATTCCTGAAGCTACAAGGCATACTGGGATCTGGGATTTATGGTTTGGGCCTTTGGGACTGGATTATTTCCAAATTTTGAGCCTGCTTCAGTCTTGAACTCCTGGGGTACAAGCCCTGGTTTCTAGGAGGGGAGGGGCAGAAACAGTCAGGACCTGTCCAGATGGTTTGGGGCAGGAGCCTGAAGTCTAACCTGCCAGACATCTACAAAACTACAGTGACCGCAGGTGGGTTATCATTGTCATTAAACATGAAAAATAATTGCTGATAGTCCTCTATTCTATTACCCTTCTCAAAACACAACCTTATGTTTTTTCATTTACTTTCTCAAAAGAGAGCAACTTCAAGGGGTCCTCAGAGACAGAGTGGCAAAATTTATTCTATGATTTAATGACTGTATACCACTTTCATATTTCTTTCTAAAACTTTCTAAAATATAGACACTTTAAAATATTACATATTATTAAGATCCCTTTGGGAAGAATAAATCAAACTGGAGAAAATTTTAGCAAAGACTTCATATTTAGTAGACCCAGAGGAGCTGTAAAGTAGGATTTCAGGGCAAGTGTTTCTCATAGAATAGGTTAATGAAGGATGACTCCAGGTCCTACATGATAGTCAAATCAGACTGATGATGAGGAAATCTAAGGTGAGCTTACGAGGCCATCCACGCTTCCTCAATGCCTTTGACCCTTTAACAAACAATTTCAGCTCTAAGAACACTTCTAAAACACTACAATTACTAAAAATAATGGGGAGATATGACCCTACATTTTACTCTGTCACTAGAGATTAGCAACCATTAAAAGAGACATTTGTTGGAATTATGCCTTTTCAGTTTCCAATAAATTAAGATAGTCATTAATATTCTATGCAGGGCATTGTGCTCTAGATGCAGGTAAATAAGTCATAATCTTTGCATTTTCATTCTTTACAAGCCAGTAGGGCAGATAGGGAAGTACCTAAATGTGACTTCCTTTGAAAAATGTGTTTTGTGCTACTCTACCTCTAAAGCTTTAAGCTACGAAGACAGGGCTACTGTCAATCTTCAAATGTGAGGTCAATCTTATAATCCTTATTGCATTTTAAATTTCTTCACAGAAACATCGAATTACTTTAAATCTGTATTTGTTTTGAAAAAAAATATATATATTCACACATATGTGCATAGACATATACATGTGTGTGCACATACACATATAGCCACCCCCCACAAATACATGCATAAATACACATACATATACGCACACTATGTTTTTAAATATGAAGCAAATATGACAATTACCATTGTGACAGGAGGCCTGATGTTTGGCAGGAAGGATTCGATCCTTTGAGAGTTCCATTGTTCTGGGTGGACTGCACAAATTTAAATGCAGCAGCAATTTTCCTGCAGGAAATGGTGATGTTTTAATCATAGCTCAGCATTTGCAAATTCACATGCTATGAAAAATGAAATCACACATTCTTCTGGAAACAGGGAAGTGGGGGTTTAGCGAAGGTGCTGGGAACTTGGATGTCACTCATGAAGAAAGAATGGCAGCACAAAGCTACTGCAGATTAATTTTTCTTTTTATTTTACTTAAAATATTTTCTTAAATTGGTACATTCCAAGTTTTATCCCTACAAAGGTAGATAAATTTGTTCAAAGATACATGAAATGTGACTTCCTTTGAGAAATGTGTTTTTTTGCTTTTCTACCTCTAAAGCTTTATGCTGTGGAGATAGGGCTACTGTCAAACTTTGAATGTGAGGTCAACCTTATAATCCTTATTGCATTTTAAGATTTCTAACATATATTTGTAAATCTAACCTGATGCATTAATATATGTCATAACTCTGAAAGAACAGACTGACCTGTTGGAGCTTAAAATGATTACCTTATTATAATGCGTTTTCCTAGGTATCTGAAATTTTGAAGACAGACGCTAGAAAGGAAAAAAGTCACATTCTAGTTATTTAACCTTTTATTTATGCAAACTGTTCATCCTAATACATTAAAAATGTTAAATTTTATTTAAATACTAGAGGCCTGGTGCACAGATTTGTGCACTGGTGGATTCCTTTGGCCTGACCTGCACCCTCTTGCAATCTGGGACCCTCGGGGAATGACAGAGAGCTAGTTTTGGCCTGATCCCCGCAGGCCAGGCCGAGGGACCCCACTGGAGCACGAATCCATGCACTGGGCCTCAAGTATGCATACAAAATCTTTGGTTAATCTCTTCCCACCTTCCTCCCTCCGCCTTCCCTCTGAGATTCATCAGTCTGTTCCATGTTTCCATGTCTATGGTTTCTGCTCCTGCGTTGAGCGTCTGCCCCCTGGTGGTCAGTGCACGTCATAGCTACTGGCCAGTAGGCTGGTTACTTATGCTTTTATATATACAGATTTTATGCATTATCATTGATAGATAAATCACCATAGAAGCATTTAAAATGCAGCATGGTATAATGAACTATTTAGAAGGTTCCAGAAAATGAGTGTTAACTAATCAACACTATAACTTACTCTAAGATGCTGAAGAAGTCCGACACCTCTGGACTGGGTGCTCGTTGCCAGTAGGCAATCAGAGTCTCTGAAAGGGAACAACACATAGTATGAGACTCTTTGAAATTCAAAGTGTTATTTTTTTTTAAGTTTTAATTTTAAAGAGTTCTCTTTACCCTCTGAAATATTCTTCATAATGTGAAGAAAACACATAAGAAGACTCCTGGTTTCAGCTTGATCTAACTTGTCAAATCGAAGTGTTGAGCCTATCAAAGACAAGGGTCTTGGGATCTAGGAATCAAAGAACCAATAAGGATTGAGTAAGAGTAAGAGATTTCTGAGTCCGAATGTGCTGAGCAAGTCTGGAAGGGAAGTCCCACCTTTTCACAGTTGTCAGTCTTCTCACTGCTCTTCTCAGTGGTACTTGGATTGGAGTCAAGACTTGCTAAGGATGCCCTGGAGTCAGCATGGTTTACTGTAGAAATAGCTATTGATGAAAATGCTGTAAACAAGGCACAGCACACAGATGACAATGAGATGTATGGGCACGGACACACAAATAGCTCAAATGATGAACCAAAAAGATGTTGATCATTGAGCATGGTATAATGAACTATTCGGAAAAGTTGACATAATAGAGTCTGGGATTGGCATTGGAGAGATGCCACATTTTAAGTGTCATTACAATGGCCATGCCAACATTAAGGATTTAGAAAAATTTAGACTATTATAAATGGAAATAAAGTAAAGATTATTCTTTTGATTTCTTAAACAGCTTTTAAGATAAAGCTTCTGTTTTAAAAATGTTTTAGTAAAAGTTCACAAGAATACTTTGGGGAAAGAAATTTTTCAATTTTTGACAGTATCAAAGAAATCAAGATGACATTTCCAAAACAGTTCCAAAAATACGCTTTGAAGTTGAAGGGCTGTTATATCTTAAAAGGCTATGTGCAATGAAAACTTAAATATTGTTTCCAGAATGAAGCCATTTGATAACGTCTGAGCCAAGTAAAAATGAAAGCTAAATAGAAGAGGAAATTGCTGGATGGCATTCCAAGAAAAATATAAAAAGACATTTTAGCTATATAAATGTAGTACACTGTGCCATATAGATTATGGGTAATGGATTATGGAGTGGGTGAAAAGCACAATGATGTACAAGGTAAATATGGATGAGGGTTAAACACAAGTGTCCTCGGAAGGTGTCAAGTACCTGCTATGGAATTTAAAACATCTTTAGAAAACGATGTGTCCACAGAGTTCGCATGTTTCATTGCTGACTGGCTGTGAAATCCTCCATTGGTGCTGAGGTCATCTCTAGAGCCCTGTATTCAGAGCACAGAAGAAATTAATGGGAATCATCATATTTCAACATTGTAAAGCCACATATACCTCTTCACTATTCTTTCAATTAGATGGTATTTAATTTGATCTTTTATATCCCAGCAAAGGTCTTCTGCCAACGCAGGCAGTGAAGATGAATATAGTCAAAACCATACTCTGGGTCACATTTGATTTCATATGTGATTTAAAATTTTTTACAATGTAGTATAAACTATCTTTTAGGTATAGATTAAATGGATGGAATAATTATATTTGTGGATTATATCATGTGTTCTATATCATTATTATCAGGGGTTATCTTATGTATTTTACTATTACTAAAAACCAGATTTTAAATAATTAGTATGTTCCAGTTTCTATGATAAGTGTTTTCTATTACACAATTTAATCCTCATAAGAATCCTGTGATGGAGGTATTTTATCCCATTTTATAAATAAGAAATTAGAGGCTTAACGAGGTTGGATAATTTACCTAATATCACATAGGTAGTAACTGATACTACTAGGATTTGAACAAGGTCCCCCGCAAATTCCTAAGGCACAGCACCTAACTTCTAGATGGTAGTATCTTGTATAGTAAACTGGGTCAGCAGTATGTTCATTCATCTGGGATTTGAACACAGGTAATTGATCCAAACAGGTTGTTTTACAGTCACTGTGATGACTCAGTGGAGAAAGGATGACAAACAGGCCACTCCTAGGCTGTGACTAGAATGAAGGCACTTGGCTATAGACAACCAAGTGGTCATAAAACTGATACCAGAAGGTGGTGGGAAAGGTGTACACTAAGGATGGGGCCATGGATGTAACAGAGGAACCTGGTAAAAACTGGAGAGAACTGGAAAACGGTGCAGAGAACAGAAGAAAAAGAAAAAAAAAGTGCTGGAGAGATGGGCTAGAATCAGGGGTCTTCAAACTGCGGCCCGCCGAAAACATTTATCCTGCCCACCGGGTGTTTGTGCCGCCGCTGCCTGTCCTGCTTAGCAGCCGACTGGTCCCGGGCCTGCAGTGCGCATGTGTGGAATGTCTGAGGGACAGTGAACTGGCCCCCTGTTTAAAAAGTTTGAGGACCTCTGGGCTAGATGGAAGGATTCATTGACCAGTCTGGAACCAGTGACACTGACATGAATGTCTCAAAAACACCAAGCAGGAACTGCTGATTAATTCTTAGTCACTCACAGGTAGGTGGACATGGTATTCAGGGCAAAAATATAAAAAAGGCTAACTATTCAAATAGACTTTGGAAATAGTATGCAAACTTACCTGGTTCGATGTATTGACAGTAAAAGGATACAGGTCCTTCAGGTAAATCCTTGGCATATTGTCCAGGAGCATGCCATAGAGGGGCATGTATAAACTTGCTATCTGGGCCTGCTTTCTCTAGGTGAGAAGGGAGCCAAAAGAAATGATTCATGTAAAAATCAATGGACCCCTCGGTTTGATTGTGCAATTAATGCAGCATGCCATTAAATTGTGTTTAGGGAAGGAAGAAAGGAAGACCACTTACTGGTTCTCTGTATCGATCATCAAATGAATGCTTAGCCATTAGATTTTTTAGGACAGCTAAAGCTAAGTGCCTGACATCTTGGTCTTCCTGCAGAGCAAAGCCAACTTCTCGGAGCAGAATCCCGATTAAGAAGTGCTTGCGGCAAAATTCATTAGTGACCGAATATTCAGGCATATCTTCGTGAGGCAAAAAAAGAGATCATATTATTGAAAATCAAACGGTCACTTTATAGTCAAGACAGGTTTATCACAGAACTATCAACTCCTCCCTGGATTCAGGGATATAGTCTTGCCACAGAGATGAGAATTATGAGACAGGAACATTCAGAAAGATAGGGTGATATTGTGTGTATACTAATACAAATAATGCGTGATGTCAAATATCAAGCTCCATGAAAGTGGCAACCCTACAGTATTATAGCTGAGACGAGAAAAACCTGAATAGTCTGTCTGAAGGAATCAGAAATGGTCAACTGAGAGTAATATGTTGAAATGGGCCATTGAGGATGCTTAAGATTTGGAAGTGCAGGTGTGTGAGTAAATGGAGGCAATGAGGAAAGAGGAGGACACTGGGAGGAGAAGTGATAGGATTTCGATGGCACAGAACTGTGAAAGTAGGTATGTGGGGAACACAGATATGGGGGACAGTAAATACAGTACCCAAAAGAGGAGTGATGAGAATTAAGATGTGAGCCACATTGGGACTAGTTGATGGGAAACTTAAGTACAAATTCGCTAGCTGGCATTTAGGTTCCTCTGCTATTTGCACTTCTGTAGCAATTCCATTTGTAGTAGATGATAAGTCACTCAGGGCTTTGAGATCAGTGGCCCAATCCGACCTGAGCTTTATTGATTTACTAATATGGTGGCAGGTTGTAAGTTAATTAGATAGCAGGGAGGGATATAATACAAGAGTCTGTAGCAGTAGTAGAGAGAGGGGAGAATTAGAGGGTCTGGGGTAGTAGGATCAAAGTAGCAGAAGTAATATCAGCAGAACAAGTTTTCTGAAGGATGTGAAAGAGCAAGGAGAGAGGAAAACCAAGGTAGGCTGCAAAATGTTAAGCCTGAATTACCAAAAAAGCAGTGTTACAATTTCCAGTAATAATGCACTTATTCAAAATTGTCCAATAGGGTTCTAAATGTAACTATTAATAATAGGACTAGCACCCACTTACAGAGCTCACACTGTGAGTAAACACTAGGCTGCACACTTTATAAGAAGTATCTTAGTTAGTTTTCAGGACAACCAGCAAGGTAGTTATGATTAGTATAGTACACCATTGGAATATGCATTATATTCAATTTTTAGGCTTCTAATAATTTCAATCTTGAAAAAATAGCTCAAACCAGACTGTGGTTTATTGAAAGAAATATATCATATAAAGCTAGTTACATTGAACAAGTATGCTATTATATATAGCTGGAATTTATTTATGATATACTCCAAGGAAATTGCAGGAACTTTGGAAAATTAAAAAAAATCAAACTTTAGAGAATAAAATATGAAAGAATTCAAGACGGGGAATCATTTAATTATTTGTGACTGGAGAAAAGTTCAGACAATATTTTGTTTATTTTGACTATATGGTATTAAAACGTGGCTATTTATTAGCATCTGGAAACTGAAAATTTATAGTATCTATATTCATCAATGTTATTGGACTATTGATGCTTAGGTAATATATAAAATTATACTATTTACCTGATGCATGCAACTCTTGAGTTGATTCTGAAGGTGTCAAAGGATCTGGATTTAATACAAATAAACAAAAAGTTCAGCTATATCCATACTCAGATATATATTATGTTCATTAATGATGTGTAATATATACTGAAAAATTAAAATATATTGTCCTAAAATAGGAATTATTTCAATAAAGCTTTGTTTTTCAAGATAAATGCTTTAGGTTATTTATTTCATTAAAGAGAATGCCATAACAGAATTATTTTAATTCTTAGCCTTCTATTTGAGCATCAGACACAGTCCTTTTTGTAAAAATAATGTACTTTACTCTTTTTTCCTCCAAAACATTAGTGCAAACTATAACAGATTTAAGGAGGGGTTTATCATCTCAGTTAGTGTTTTCCATGAATATAAAAATTGCACCCTGTGAATAATTTAGTCACTGCTTAGAAGTATTTTAAGGGTAAAAGGGGTCAAATATACAGGGTGGGGGCAGAAGTAGGTTTATAGTTGTTCATATGGAGAATAATACAATAATTAATAAATAACAATACAATATTAAATTGCATTTTACATACACACAACTCTAAATCTACTTTTGCCCCCACCTGTATGATGATGGAAGGAGTCTTGACTTTGGGTGCTGAACCCACAATGCAATATACAGATGATATATTAGGGAATTGTACACTTAAAACCTATACAATTTTATTAATCAATGTCACCCCAATAAATTAAAAAATTAAAAAAAATTAAAGTTCCTAAATAATTTTAGTATTTTCTTCACATTTTGAAGTTTGATGAGCTTCTGATATCTAGGTGGGTGATAATAATCCTCTACCATGGTCACCCTAGTATATGATCATGGTAGAGAATGAACAATATGTAATAAATGTAATAAATGAAAGTATTTTCTGTAGAGCATTTATGCTATAGTAGCATAGTAAACAAGTTGTGGAGCCCAGTTCTTTCCTGCACACCCATCTCTGTGTCTTTCTGACCCAGAGATATAAGGAGTTCATAGTGCTGCCCACCTACCTGCCTGCCTTCCTTCCTTCCAAGGTACCAGTTTCTTTGTCTCAAACTCATTTTTAGAACTTGAATTCAACATAATTACACACCTTAACTGATAATTGGAAATGAATTTATACTCACAAAGTATAACTTTTCCTCCATGTAATTTTATCTCTCAAAATCAAAGGAAAGCTGTCTTTTGTAGCCAGTATGGTGAAAGACAGTATGGCTCTAGGTTAAAAATCTTTGATCTACAATCACCAATTTTATAATCTTATTGTTGGCCTTCTTTTTAATGAAAAAGGAAACACAGACAAACATTGAGAATCATAGGGTTGTATCCATTGTCACAGGCCAACAATTTCTTTTACATTTTAATCTCATTGTCTGGGTATATCCAACTTCAAACAAAACCAAGATTGAGGAAACAGGGAAACAATGAACAAACAAACAAAAGTGTTCACTTTGTAGGAGCCGATAAAAACTCTGGAAATTATTACCTGGGATGTTTGCTGATCTTATGGGGAGACACAAAGGGATAAAGTGCTCATGCTGACACACTTCTTGAAGGAAATCAAATTTATACTGGCATAAAGTCTGAAAGAGAGACAAGCCGAATGACTATTATTTACACACCAAGAAATTTAATAAAACAAAGAATCTGCACTTGACTTTTGTACCTAAAAAGAAGATGCAGTTACTTTTGTGTGACCACCAGCTATTGTTAATTTAAGGAATTTTGACCCTCTGTAGTGGTAAATGCAGGCAGCCTTCCTATTTGGGGAGTTTGATCAAGGCTTCCTCAGGAAGTAATCTCATTTGTAACCTACCTTACTGAGACATGTTTTTGCTTCTTTTAGTTTATAACATACTTATTTTGAGAAAAATAGTGCCTCATCAAATGCACAGAGCTCTACCGCTACCCTCAGATCATAGAACAGATTGCTACAACCAATTCTTATGATTCAAGGAGGTAAGGAAGACAATCTACACTAATAAAAGAGAAAAATGGTAATTGGTGTACGACACTACCCTTTTCATTGGCTAATCAGGGCTATATGCAAATTAACTGCCAACTCAGATGACAG